ATTTAAAACTCCCTCATATACATATATACAAAACAAAAGGGTGTTATAGAATGAAGGGAAACAGAAGAGTAAGGCAGTTCAATGTTTCCTCTTCACAGTTTACTGATATAAGCCAAAAGCTTTTTATAATTTGCTATTCATCGACCTTTCTCCTCCAGGTCACAGACTTCTACAGCACAGGAACAGACCCTTTGGTCCAACTTGTCCATGCCGACCAAACAGCCAAAATTGATCTAGTCCATTTTCCAGCATTTGGCCCACATCACTGTAAACCCTCTGTACACATCAGATGCCTTTTAAATATTGTAATTGTACTTGCCTCCACCATTTCCTTTGGCAGCTCATTCCATACATGCACCATCCTCTGTGAAAAAGTTGCCCCTCAGGTCCATTTTAAATCTTTCCCCTCTCATCCTAAATCTACACCCCCCAGTCTTAAATTCCCTTACCCAGGGAAAAGACCTTGGCTACTCACCCTATCCATGCCCCTCATGATCTTATAAACCTCTATAAGGTCACCCCTCAGCCTCTGACACTCCAGGAAAAATAGATCCAGTCTATTCAGCCTCTCGCTATAGCTCAAACCCTACAATCTTTGCAACATCCTTGTAAATCTTCTTTCACATGCTGCTAGAGGTACACTGGTTCACACATGTAAAGTTCCTCTTAAAGGTCTGCTAGCTGACGAAATAGTCACACCCATAAACCGTTCAGCTTCTTGGGACCAAATCACAGTCTTTGGCAGGCAGAAGGCCTTTGTCAATGAAAACTAGTCACCATTGCATAGAGCAATCAGCTACTTGCAGCTGGCTGAATTTCCCTTTGTACACACCCCTGGTTCCCATACTAAACCTTCCTTAATTAATCCTTGACTTTCCAAGTAGAAATTAATTCGGTCTCTTTTTTCCTGAAATTTTCCCTATCGCTGATATTAGACACACTGGCTCTTATAGCTCCCTGATTTATCCCTATCACCATCTTGAATAATGGTTCCAAACCAGCTGTCCACTAGTCCTCTGGCACCTTCCCCTGTGGTCCCCTCAAAGGATTAGAAAATTAATATCATGGCCTCTGCAATCTCCCACAGTAATCTGGGATTTCAGGCCTAGGATTTATGCAACTTTCAACCTTGTTGAAACCGTTATTACCTCTCCCTCGCAATAATAATCTATATAGTGAATATAGATGCAAAGTAATCATTTAAAACCTGAAGTCCATCTTCCAGCTCCATACACAAACTGTCATTTTGATCCTTAATGGGCTCCACGCCTTCTCTGGGTATCTCTTGTCCCTAACATGCCTTTGGATTTCTCTTCAGTTTATTGCCTGTTGGTGCGTTTTAACAACGCCTCTTTGCTTTCCTAATTTGTTTTTAAAGCAAACTTTCTAAAAACCGAAAGAACTGCGGATACTGTAAATCAGAAACAAAAATGGAAATTGCTGGAAAAGATCAGCAGGTCTGGCAGCATCTGGGGAGAAACATCAGAGCTAATGTTTAAGGCTGAGTGACCCTTTGTCAGATGCTGAGCTTTTCCAGCATTTTCTATTTTTGCCCCTCCACTTTCTAAATGCCTCTAGAATGACTGGTATTCTGAGCCCTCATTACCCACCACAAGCTTCCCTCTTCTTCCTCATCCAGTCCTGCACATTCCTTGACATCAAGGGTTCTTTGGACTTAGCTGTCCCACTCTTCACTTTTTGAAAAGTTCACATTTCAGTAATTTCTCCCACTCTATTTTGGCCAGATCCTGCATTATAGTTTTGAAACTGACCTGTTCAATTCAGAATCTTTATTTCTATTGTCCTAGGCCATGACTACCTTAAACCTTTAACCTGTTAATGTTAACATAAAAGGTAAAGTCATCATACTCTCAGCAGAACATAGGGCTGCTCTCTCATGAGCGACAGAGAGAAAGAGGAAAAACAACTGGTGGTGAGTTTAACCTGAGGGTCACCACACCTTAGGTGAGAGTTGAGGTTGAGAAGGCAGGACCTTTATGACCTCACCCAGTGCAAAAATCAAACCTGTGTAGTTGATTTTACTTTGCATTGCAAACCACTCATCCAGCCAATTCAGCCAACCAATTGAGCATTCTCAACTCATCTGCCTTACTCATAAGACTCCTTGCATGAAAACAAATGCGATTAGCCTTGCTGAGTTCCCTCGTGTCTTAACTTGACTGTACATGCCCTGCCTGACATGACTTTGCTACATTTTTTCTGTGCAACACCACTCCATATCCTATTCCCCTGTCAACTGAGTCTAAACCTCCATCAACAGCTCTAGCAAACCTCTTTGCAATGATCTTGGTCCCATTGTGGTTCAGATGCAACCTTCCCCAGAAACAGACCCAGCTATTCAAGAATCTAAAACATTCTCTTCTGCTCCAACTCTTCAGCCACACATTCATCCCCTCTACCAGCTATTCTTCTTTTCACTAGTACATGGCCATCGGTGTAATCCAGAGATTACAACCTTTGAGGTCCTGTTTTTTCAATCTGCTACCTATCTCCCTAAATTCTTGTTGCAGAACCTTATCCTTCTTTCTACCCATGTCACTGGCATTAACGTAAACCACAACCTGTGGCTGTGCATTCTCCCCCTTCAGAACATCCTTGAACCTGGACCCAGGGAAGCATCATACCATCTTCAAATCACATCTATGGCTACAGAAATGGCAGACTGCACCCCTCATTATGGAGTCTCCTATTGCTATAGCTCTTACTTTGCCTGCTCCTCCTGTGAGCTGCTTCGCTCCAAACGCATTCCCCCAAGGAACTGTCACTCTCACCATTTCCCAATACAGAATATCTGTTCTAGAGTTACACTCTGGGGATTTGCTGACTACCTGGCTGCTTCCCTTCTTCTGACACTGAAAGACCTGTCTCGACAAGGTTTCACTAACTGTCAGCCTCCTGATGCACTATAGTGTCCCCACCTGATGCTCCAAAAGCAACATTCAAGCTTGTAAAACGGGCAGCAATCCCTCATATGTGGTCAACTAGACTGCCAAGAGTGTCTTTCACTTCCCACACGTTTAGGCTGTACAGCATACTATGCCACCAATCTAAACCATCCTACAGCGGGAAACTTTGTCATGATACACATCCAAGGGACTTAAATATAGCATGCACATTCTACAAAAATTTGGTCTGAAACATAAAATGGTGTTTTTAACTGTGAAAAAAGTAATGAAAACATAAAAAAGAAACAGAGGAATGCCCAAGAATGAGGGAAACGAATCTCTCCCGCCAGACCAAACAGAACCAGGTCATGAGATAGTAGGAACTGCAGATGCTACAGAATCTGAGATAACAAGGTGTAGAGCTGGATGAACACAGCAGGCCAAGCAGCCTGCTGTGTTCATCCAGCTCTACACCTTGAACCAAGTCATACATATTTCAACCATTGACAGAACCGAGGTGTAAGAGGGGCAGGAAGCGGACGCGTTGACAGGTCTTGACAGAGATATCCAATATTCCAGTGGCTGGAATCTGGCACGCCGGTCCTCATAGCCCCAGAGTAGAGGAGGTGGTGGAGAGACAGGTGAAGGACAGGGCAAAGGGGATGGACACCCAGGCCCGCGGCCTCTCCATCCCGGAACCAACCGCTAGGCCCGAAACAGTAAGCCCTTCCCAGGCCTCAGTCCTCCAATCCGTACCGATGGTGGAGATGAAGGTGGTATTGAAGGCGTCCTCTGAGAAGCGGAAAAGAACACAAGTTTTGCCGACGCCGCTGTCGCCGATCAGCAGCAATTTGAAGAGATAGTCGTAGGTCTTCGCCATGGCCGCCTCCCGCGCCCCGCTCCGCCGGATGTCCCGCCTTCCAGCCACTCATTGGCCCATATCGGAAAGACTACACAGCTGATTGGATAATAAAACAGACCCCGCCCACAAGCTGGATAATTATTGGTTAGTCCCGTTGTCAATCACAACTGGTCTCCCCCATTACGCCGGTGACAACCGTTTCCGCTGGGAACAGTCAGCGTCGGCGGCCGAACCGCGGCCTCTAAGCTGGTAATGACAGGCTGCTGAGTACAGTCCTCGATCTCGCCCAGGTCTTATCACTTCCTGTGACTTGGGGTGAATGGAAATATTTAGGAGCCTAGGGGACCGGCTCGACTTCCTAGAGTCACGGAGCGGCACCTCTTGTCTCCTTCGACAGCTCCTTGTGCTCCCTCCTCCCTCCCTCCGAGATTGCGGAAGTGAGGTCACGGTGAATGAGAGTCTGGCCTGTTTGTGTGAACCGGAGCGGGGCCTGGGGCCGTGGGAAGAGGCCGTGGGAAGAGAACTGAGCTTGTACCCGGGACTCCTCTCGTCCGTTGCATCAGCGCCAGGGAAGAGTAGCAGACCATAGGGGTCAGTGAGGAACACCCGCCTTCCCCCAATCACACACATACACAACACCACCAGTTGAGGGCCCACACACACCTCCTGCCCGGAGTTAGGAGCTAATGAAGAATACTCCCTTCTCCCGGCCCAGAGTGAGGAATCGTCCTCTCCCAGAGAGAGAGAGAGACACCAATGAGGAATTCTCCCTTCTGACAGTCATTGACCGTAGTCCTTGCTGAGATTGTTTTTTTTAAAATTGTAATCCGGTGTCACTGGAGCTTCAACAAAAGGTATGTGAAGCAATCTCATCTTGTGCACTTGGAATGTTTAAAGTACCCTATATGTTGGAATTCTGATGTCCCAGCCGTGGGACCTCAACAATCTAAACCCAGGTTATAACTGTCAGGGAAGATGAGGAATTCATAATGTGGGGTCCACTTTTCACCCTAGTTGAAGGTTGTACCATTAGCCTTGTAAGACCTCGTAACTTTGGATTTCCTTCCTTAGATCTCTCCAATCGCCCTTTAAAACCCTTAGGATATCCATTTCTTTATTTAATTTGCCCGTTGGTTATCTTTCTGATTAGCTTTTTCTTTGGTTCAATATCCGTTTTTTTTCTATTGCACCTGTGAAATTCCTTTTGACAATTTGTTCTGTGACGTGAGCCAGCTTGTAAGTGCCACGTTACTTTGTACAAAACATTAAAGAAGATTGGAGTTTATTTTTCTGTAACTTATACATGCAAATATGTTAAATGAATTATGACAAGTCTGAGTTACTCTTCCTGGAGTGAAATGTTTGCAGAAGACAGCTGTCATGTCTTTGCAAAACCAAACAGTATGCTGAACAAAGAAGTTTGTATCTCAGAGATCATTACTATTTCTTAGATTTTGATTTTTTTTTGCATTACAGGGCCTACTTTCTATTGTGCTCTAATGGCGATGAAACCAGAAGCAGATCTACCAGAGATCCCATTTGCTGCCAACATAGATGAAGAATCTATGGGAAAGGCCCCAGTGACTATTTTGGACAGTTCATGCCCCTCAGCATTGAATAGCATTATCCATGAAAACAGTGTGCATTCAACTCCAGAGGTGAAAGGACCTGATGCTGCACAGTGGCCAGAGTATCTGAACTCTGAGCATTCCTGCTTTTCAGCAGAGCTGAAGCTTGCTTTGCAAAGTGATCGGCATCTGGTGCGGAGTTATACTTACACCAGTGAGGACTCTTCGAGTGCTGGTGATTCATCTCCATCTTCCAGTACTAACCTCGCTGAATCTGATGAACTGTCATCAGAGAAGAATGAAGGGAGGATGACACTGTGGGCAGGAAGCTACAGGTACGAACTTGCAGCTTATAAAACAGGACAGGGCAGCGATCTGTGTCCCCCAGGGGTAGGTACAGGGAGCAGAACAGCCAGAGAACTGGATACATCAGGATCAGAACTTAGCTCAGAAGAAATATCACCCAGTTTAATGACTGTGTCCAGTTTTCCGTGACAGTCCATTACTCATAGGGACCCTTAGAATGTAAAGAAGGAAAATCCTGACCGAGATAAGTGACTTGTCCTGATGGAATGCATGCATCTGCCAAGATTATTATTGGTCAGATATATTGTACAGGAATATATGGGCACCTACTGACAAGATTATTATTGGTGAAATATGTTGTACGGGGTTGTGTGGGCACCCACTGACATTGTTTCGAGGTCTGTGGTTTATCTTTTTCTATTTCCTTGTGTAATGTGACTGTTTCTGTTGGTCAACATCTAATGCTAATTCCCCACATAACCTTGAGAAATTGGTAATGAAGTGTTTTCTTGAACCACTGCAGTCCTTGAGGTGTAGGTATGCCCACAATGCTGATAGGGAGGAAGTTCCATTGTATTGACCCACAACCACAAAGGAATGGTGATATAGTTCTAATGTGTGTTGTTGGGAGGTGGGTTTCCAGGTGGTGATGTTGCCATACATCTGCTGTCCTTGTCCTTCCAAGTCATGCTTGTTTAAAAGATAGACCACAGTCAGTTAATTTTTTTTCTATTCATTTGTGGGATGTGGGCGTCGCTGGCTGGCTAGCATTTCTTGCCCATCCTTAGTTGCCCTTGAGAAGGTGGCGGTGAGCTGCCTTTTTGAACTGCTGCAGTTAATACTCCTGGGAACTGTGGTTGAATCCCACTGTGGCAGATGGTGGAATTTCGATTGTAAATATTTGGAATTAAAAGTGTAATTATGGTGATGAAACCATTGTCAATTGTCACAAAAACTCCTAGCACATTACTGTTTCTTAAGGAAGGAAATCTATTTGCCTAGGAGCTTACCTGGCCTGGCTACATGCAACTCCAGACCCTCTTTGATTTTTAAATACCATTTCTGAAAAGACCTAACAAGTCTTTCAGTTGTATCAAACCTAGTCTCAGTAACGACGTGAAATTGGATGGCCTGGCACTGGCACCGGAAATAAGTGGCAAATTCGAGCCCTATCGACTTCGTTTTTTTTTCCCCCCCCCTCACACCTGAGACTAATACTGAAATTGGGAAGCTGTCTTACAGACTAGTCAAGCAATATCCTGACCTACACACAATCATACCATACAGGCCATGCCCCATACATGCCCCAGGACAGACCCAACAGGTGATGGCACAGTTGTATGTAGTAAGGAGGGAGTTGCGCTGGGAGACCTCCACGTTGACTCAGACACCATGAAGTCTCATGGTATCAGGTCAAATGTGCTGATTTGTTACATATTTACTCCCTTGGTTGATGAATCAGTAATCCTCCACGTTGAACTCCAATTGGAAAGAGCACTGAAGGTGATAAGAGTGCAGAATATACACTGGTAGGGACTTCAATTACTTTAATATCAGTTGCCAAAAGTGGTCCAGAAGCATCAGTAATGATTGAGCTGGCGGAATCCGAAAAGGCAATGCTGCCAGACTTGGGGGATCTGTTGATGAAGGAACCAACATGAGGGACAAATGTTCTTGATCTCAACCTCCCCTATCTGCCTGCCAGAGATGCATCTGTCCATGACAGTATTGGTAGAATTGAAGACCAAACAGTCCTTCCATTGATGAAGTACCATTTTCACTTTGAGGATAACCTCCATTATGTTGTGTGACACTACCATCTGCTAAATGAGACAGACTTTGAACAGATCTAGCGACTCAAAAGTTGGCATCGCTGAGGGACTATGGACCATCGGCAGCAGAATTGTATTCAATTATAATTTGCAACCTCACGATGCAAGATATTGCAGTTTGGTACAACAATCAGGGGTAGGGCTTATACAAGTAATGGTAAGGCCTTGGGTAGTGTTGTAGAACAGAGGGACCTAAGCATTGAAGTGCATAATATTTTGAAGTTTGCATCACATAAAGATAGGGTGGTTAAAAAGGTGTTTGGCACACTTGCCTTCATTGCTCAGTCCTTTGAGTTTATGAGTTGGAAAATCATGTTGAGGTTGTGCAGGACATTGGTGAGGCCTCTTCTTGAATACTGAGTCCAGTCCTGGTGGCCCAGTTGTAGGAAGGATATGGTAAAGCTGGAGGGGGGTTCAGAAGAGATTTACCAGGATGTTGCCGGGTATGGAAGGTTTGAGTTATAAAGAAAGGCTGGGACATATTTCACTGGAGCATAGGAGATTGAGAGGTGACCTTTATAGAAGTTTATAAAATAATGAGGGGTATAGATAGAGTTAAAGGTAGTTGTCTTTTCCCTAGGATGGGGGATTTCAAGACTAGGGGTACATTTTTAAGATGAGAGGGGAGATATTTTTAAAAAGGCATGAGGGGCAAATTTTTTTAGTGTGGTTCGTGTGTGGAATGAACTTCCTGAGGAAGTGGTGGATTTGGGTACAATTACAACGTTTAAAAGATATTTCGATAAGTACATGAATAGGGAAGATTTGGAGGGGTTTGGGCCAGGAGCATGCAGGTGGGACTAGTTTAATTTGGATTTGTGGTCAGCATGGGCTGGTTGGACCAAAGGGTCTGTTTCCATGCTGTATGACTCTCTGACTGTTCTACTATGACATCAAGCCAGGGGATTAATCCTGGTTCAATGGAAACTGCAGGATGGCATGCCAGGACCAATAGCAGGCAAACCTGAAAGAGGTGTCAGCCTGATGAAGAAACAACATAAGACTACTTGCTTGCCAAATAGCAGAAGCAGCAAGTGGTAGAGTTTAGTGATTCCAGAACAAGCAGATTAGATCTAAGTTCTGCAGTCCATCCACATCTGGTTATAAATGATGATAATTAAACATCACAATGTAGGAGTAAGCTACACAAATATCCCCATCCTCAGTGATGAGGGAGCCCAGAACCTCCGTGGAAAAGACAAAACTGAAGCATGTAGAAGCCTCTTCAGCCAGGAATGCCATTTAGATTATCCATCTTGGCCTCTCTTGAGATTTCCAGTTTCACATGTCCAGTCTTCAGCCAATTCGATTTAGTCCATGCGATATCAAACAGAAGGCACTGGATACTTCAAAGACCATGGGATCTGGCAACATTCCAGCAATAGTACAGAAGTCCTCTAGAAATAACCATGCACTGAACTAACCTGTTCTAGTCCACTTACAACTCCGTCTCTTGGAAAATTACTTGGGTATATCCGGTCACATCCAGCCTAGGTGAGTGCAGCTCCTTTTTTTTTTCAGTTTTCTCTCATGGACCATAAGCATTGCTGGCTGGGCCAGCATTTATTGACCCTTCCTAGCTGCCTTTTGAGAAGGTGGTGGTGAGCTGCCATCGTAAGTCGCTGCAGTCCATGTGCTCTGGGTTGGTGCACAATGCCATGAGGGAGGGAATTTCAGAATTTTGATAGTGACAATGAAGGAACAAAGATGTATTTCCAAGTCAGGGTGGTGAGAGGCTTGGAGGGGACCTTTCAGTTGATGGTGTTCCAATGCTGCATTGTCCTTCTGGATGGAAGTGATTGTGGGTTTGGAAGGATCCTTTAGGGAAGGAAACTGCCATCCTTACCTGGTCTGGCCTACATGTGACTCCAGATCCACAGCAATGTGGTTGACTCTTAACTGCCCTCTAGGCAATTAGGGATGGGCAATAAATGCTGCCTGGTCAGCAACACCCTTATCCCACTAATGAATAAGGGATCTTTGGCAAATTTTTGCAGTGCATCTTGTAGGCATTACATGCTGCTACTGAGTGTCGGTGGTGGAGGGAGTGGATACGGTGCCAGTCAAGCAGGTTGCTTTGTCCTAGATGGTGTCAAGCTCCCTGAGTGTCGTTGGAGCAGCATTCATCCAGACAAGTGGGGAGTATTCCATTACACTAGACTTGTGCCTTGTAGATGGTGGTCAAGCTTTGAGGAGTCAGGAGGGAAGTGTTCCTAGCCTTTGACCTGCTCTTGTAACCGCATTTATATGGGGAACCCTGTTTAGTTTCTGGTCAATGGTAGCCCCCAGGGCATTGATAGTGGGGAATTCAGCGATGCTAGTGTCAGTGAATGTCAAGATTGTCTCCTATTGGTGATAGTCATTGCCTGGCATTTGTGTGGCGCGAATGTGACTTGCCACCCGTCAGCCCAAGCCTGGATATTGTCCACGTCTTATTGATTTGAACATGGACTATTTCAGTATCTGAGGATTTGTGAATTGTGTTGAATGTTGTTCAATCGTTGAACATCCCGACATCTGAGCTTCTGTAACACTCAAGCTTCACACTATCCAGGACAAAACAGCACATTTGATCAAGACAATGTCCATCACCCGAACATTCACTCCTGCACACACAAAAAATCTCCCTTTCATGGACTGATGAGATCATAATTAAATGCTTCACTATCATATACGCATGATATTGAAAAATGTAACAAAGCAGTTACTTAATTTCTACTGCATATGAGAGCTCAATCTCATGTTTAAATTCGTTATTCACTTTATTCCAATAATATTGACTACAATATTCTTTTCCCCGTACTGTAACTCCGATATGTGCAGTCTTAAATTGGAAGCTTCTCATTCTTTTGTAAATAATTCATTAGCTGAGTATTTCTTTGCCGGGTTTAAAGCTATTATCTTTCCTGTAGCATACCTTTCTTCTCTTCTTCTTCTTTCCCTCCACATGTCCCAAATCTGCAGTTTTTCCCACTCCTTGATCCTGAGTCCTAGAAAGAAGTTTGCTTCTCAAAACAAGAACTTTGCACAGCACTCTAGGTTTGGTCTTGCCAATGCCTGTACAGGTTTTACCAGTGTTCCCTGTTTTGTACTCCATCTCCCTTTCAAATATTTTATTGGTTTTCCTAATCACTTGCCAGATCTGTATACTCTAAGGTTTTGGAGTAGATTTGTAGCTCAGGTTGTGGATGTTGAGG